AAATAAGAAAGCTAATTAAAATAATGCACACAAAATGCATTACTTTCCTTAACAACTTCCTTATTTCTTTACTATAGCTGAAACTGGGCCAATATTTGGCCTTCAACTTTCCAGCAATTAAGAAATAAAACTAATCCAACTTCAATTTTAATTTAAAATGTGGTTTAACTTCCTAGTTTATTGAAAGTTGAGAATTAAATATTTTATGTAAATATAGTGTTTTATGAAGCTTAAAGGGTTCTTTAAAGCAGCCCTACAAGGAACGTCTCCCTCAATTCAGTTGTCTTAATTTTTTAAGTATGTGTGTGTACTCCTGGTGTGGTGCTGTAGGGTAAGCACTGAACTGCTAACCACAAGGTTGGTGGTTCAAACCCACCAACTGCTCCTTGGAAACACTAGACAGGGTCACTATGAGTTGGAACTGACTCAACAGAACTTAACAACATCAACAACACAAAGTAATAATCAGTATTCGTATTATTTTGGAAGTATATTTTTGGCTTAATACTATTTTACATGTAGGAGGTATCATTATTTAATAGCTAGAACATATAGCTTATGATTTTTATAACTACCCAGTATTCCACTGATATAAGTATCATTTATTGTTCTTTGCCATAAAGTCAATTTTGAGTCCTGGCAAACTCATGTGCGTAAAGAGTAGAACTGCTCCATTAGATTTTCAAGGCTGTGAACTTTTACAGGCAGGTTAACAGGCCTGTACTCTGAAATGCTTTCGAGTAGGTTTAAACCATCAACCTTTCAACTAGTAATCAAGTGCTCAATTGTTTGTGCCACTCAGGATTCCAATATATTCCTAATTTCCCTAACCATTATCACCATGTGATGATATACACTGGGCACTGTCTGAGGTGTTAAGAGTTCAGAGATAGATAAAACATTAAGACTTCACACCCTAGCCCTAACAGGTTAGAGGGACAGCCTGTAGACAAATCAGACTAATGCCACCACAAACTTAGGTGCACAGTGCTATAGGAAGGTTTTAGGCATGTATGTTTTTAACAATTTTCACCATTAATAAAAGGAGCTCTGGTAGCGTAGTGGTTACGAATCGGGCTGCGAACCTTAAGGTCAGCGGTTCGAAACTACCAGCCGCTCCGCGGGAGAAAGATGAGGCTTTCTACTCCCGTAAAGATTTACACCCTCGGAAACCCTGTACAGGGTCGCTATGGGTCGGACCCGACTCGATGGCACTTAACAACAACAACAACAACACCATTAATAAACTCTTTCCAAAGATGTTTTTGTGGGTTTTTTTTTCAAATTTCTTTCTGAAAAATTCCAAACAGACAGTTTCTGAATCTTATTATCCTGAGTCTATATTTTTAGAATGGTCTCTTAAAAATTAAAATTCAGGAATTTTATAGAGGAATTGGCACAGACTAAACACATTTTCACATGTCCCTCCTGCTCGGCAGACCACTAATCTAGCCATGTCTCCTGTAAACACTGTCTCTGGATTGAAAATATGAAGGGACTTCAAAAAGTTCCTCGAAAAATTCCGTTATTCTACAAACTTTTTGAAGCACACTCCTATAATAAATTGGTCCTTCATCACAGATAATTTAAGAAACACTTACTGGACTGCTTAATCACAGGTTCAGACCCAGCAACCGCTCCTTGGAAACCCTATGCAGGGTTACTATGAGTCAGAACTGGACCCATGTACCTCTCTCCATTTTCATTATCACCCCCCTAGTGCAAGCCACCATCCTTGCCTAAGGTGCAGAAAAAGACAACCAACTGGTCCTCGTTAGCACTCTTGCCAACTTATAATCCATTTCCACACAGTTGCCCAAAAGATCTTTTAAAAATATAAATCATATCTCTCTTCTACATACCAACCCCAGTTACTTACTATTATACTTACTTACTATTATACTTAAATCCAAACTGGGTATGGGGTTTCCTTTTAGGGTGATGAAAATGTCTTGGAATTAGATTGCAGGAACATTTGCACAACTTGTGAATTACGCATGGTAAAAGGGTTACTTTTATGGTATGTGAATTACACCTCAAATTTTTTTAAAAAATAACAAATTCCTAACTAGCCCCTGGTTACTTTTATTATCTTATTATCCCTGATCCTTCTGTTTCCTCCCTCAGTCTCCTCCTTAATCACACTACTAAGCGATTCTTGCTTTAGGGCATTTACAATACTCAGAAAGCTCTTCCCTCTGCCAGGCATTCTACTCTTGATGTTCTCATGGATGGTTCTTTCTTGTCATTCCAAGTGCATCTTAAATTTCACCTTTTCAGCGAGGCCTTCCCTAAGAACTATTCTGAAGTATACATTTAGTCATTTTTTTACCACATCATCTTATTTCAATCTTCTGTATAGAATTTCACTGTCTGACAAACTTCTTATTCATGCATTTGCTCATCTCAAGTGCTGAACTTCGTGAGGACAAGGGGTTGATCTCTATGGCCCACAAGTGTATCACAAGGGTCTAGATCTAGAACAACAACTCTGTACAGAAGGTAATCAAAAAATATTTGTACAGTGAATAATGTTGACTATTGTGATCCATTGGAGCCCTGGTGGCACTGTGTTGGGAGCCACAAAGTTAGCATTTCAAACCCACCAGTCACTCGAGGGAGAGAGATGAGGCTGTCTGTGCTCATAAAGATTTACAGCCTCAGAAACCCTTGGGAGCAGTTCTACTTTGTCCTTTAGGGGTACTATGAGTTGACTCCATAGCAGTGGGCTTGATTGTTTGGGTTATTTATTATTATTGCTGTTATTACTACATAGGTAGTGTCTTTAAAGGTTTTTTTTTTTAAGAGTTATGGATTTATCCTAAGGGTTGTGGATACTGCTAAAGGATTTAAACGGGGAGTAACACACAGGATCAGTAGGAGATATGTAGTAGGTATTCTGACCAGCTAATCACATACTCCCTGCAAACCAAGGTTCTCAAAATATTTTTCAAAATTTGGCAGCAGTTTCCAAACTTTAGCATCCATAAGAAATCACCTGGAGGACTTATTAAGATAGAAATTACTGGGTCATAACCCTAGAGTTTCTGATTCAGAAGTTCTGGAATGGGGTTGAGAATGTACCTATCTAACAAGCTCCCAGGTGATACTGATATTGCTGGTGAGAGGCCACACTGTGAGAACCTATGACTTAGAGCTCTTTGTGGAGAAAAGCAGAGGAGGATCAATGGTGACAGCCTCTTCTTCTATTGCCCCAAGCAACTTAACTATCGCACAGAGAAAAATAAAAGCCCTCTAGCTAACTAGACTCAATCTTCTTGAAGGTACTTTATAATCAATCCTCTTTGGAGAGAGGATGAGAAAGAAGGGAGGAAAGGAAGAAAACGGCAGATAAACAGATGATGCAAGAGAAGAGAAAGGAATAGAATGCTACCCTTTCAACTACAAATAATACTCTCCTGAGAAAATTTCATATCAAATTATATTCTCCATCTTGTTAGATTTCTAAGAGCATTTTCTTTCCCCTT